GGCAAGTTTTACCAAATTGTTCCCAGCTACCTAACTTGGTCAGTTTCCCAGCCTTCCATAGCGGTTTCATTGGCTCTTTGTTGGTGGTATTGTTCTTTTATGTGCTGGTCCTGGGACTTGAATTCAGCATCTGGGCTCTATCCCTGAGCCTTTTGGTTCAAGGTCAGAGCTCTCTCATTTGAGACAGAGCTTCACTTCCAGCATGCTCCACTACAGCCCAGCTCGCTGGCTCTTTTGTAGTCTCTGTTAACTATATATTCATATTCTTTTTTATTCTTTAGAGTTGTTTTGCGGCATTTCCAGCCTTAACAACTCATCTGATTCCAAAGCCAAAAACACCACACTTTTATATTTTTATGACAGAAACATTTTACTTCTAGGCACCAATTTCTCTTTCTTCTTTCCTTTATTTCCTTCCTTCCTTTCTTCTTTCCTTCCTTCCTTCCTTCCTTCCCCTCCTTTCCTCCCTCCCTCTCTTCCCCCCTTCTTCCCTCCCTACCTCCTGCCTGCTTTCCGGATTTCCTTCCTTTTTATCATACTAATATTGGGCTTGAACTCAGGCACTCATGTTCTTTCTTAGCTGATTTTGCTCGAGGTTGATGATTTACTGTGCTACTTGGACCACACTTCCATTTTCAGCTTTGTACTAAGTACTTAGTTGGAGCTAAGAATCTTGAGGATTTGTCTGCCTGGATTGACTTTAAACCTCTGACATCAGATCTCAACCTCCTGAGTGGCTAGGATTATAGGTGTGAGCCACTGGTGGCTCTGCCCCAATTTCCTTTATTATTGATCTATTACTACTTTTATTATCTGCCTGCTACTATGCTCAGAAACTTAAAACAGTCATTTGTGTTCATGTATTACTATATTGGGGTGGGCTGCACAGATGGTATTTTCTTGTACTTGGCTGGGTTGCTCATGAATCTGTGGCCTGTAACAGTTAAAACAAGTAGAGGGTTTTAGGTCTTGGGTGGCTATTGAAAGAATACAATCACAGAAAAGGGGTCACATGTCTTTAATTATCAATCTAGCTAGCCTGGGCTTGTACCCACAGGGGTAATGCCAGGGCTTCCAAGATCAGCCAGAGAAGGAAGGCCTCCATATGTAAATACTTTTCAAGACTCTGTTTGTGTAGCATTTACTATTGTTACATTGGCCAAAGGAAGCCACATGGTCAAAGCCAAGCAAGCGTGAGGGTGGGAGGGAATTATCTATGGGCTTCTATTGAGAGAAGTTATAGGTTTGACGAGGTGTGAACAAAACTAGGGTTATTAATGCCACAATCTACTGGGCTTCTGTTACACAGAGGAGACGATGATGTGACACATAGAAAGCCTGCCAAGTTTCCTGAATTGGGCCAACAGAAGAGCTGCCAGCTTGCCAAGAAGAAAGCACTGAGTTTGCTCAGATTTTCAAGTTTAGAGTGATTGGTTATGCAGCTAGTTGACACAAACATGGGAAACTCAACTTGTGACTTGAAATCTGGTAAATGAAACTGAAATAATATCAGAGCCCAAAAGAGTTCTACATGTTTTTGGAAGCTAAACTACCAAAAATGCAAAAAAATGAAAAGACAATATTTGGCAGTAAGCAAACTCAGTGAAAAGTAGTATCTTACCTTTATGGGGGTTTGTATATGTGTATTTAAGGTACAGTATTTTATAATGAGTAACTAATAGATACTCATGTATTCTGCCATTGTCTTCATTAAAAATTGAAAAATTGGTATTAAAAAATGAATTAAAAATATCTGGGAGCCAGAGGTTCACACCTCTAATCCAAGCTACTTAGGAGACTGAGATCTGAGAATGAAGGTTTGAAGCAAGCCCAGGAAACAAAAAAAGCCAGTACCATAGGCATGGATCAAGTAGTAGAGCGCCAGTGGAAAAACACAAAGCAGAAGGAAAGTGAGAATCCTCATGCTTAAGCTCCTAAGGGTACAGAAAAAAAAAACACCCAGCAACTGTTTGCTTGTTTATATCTTTAGATCTAGACAGTATGGTTTGCTTAGTATTATGTGAAAGCTTTTATAGTTGGCTAAGGATTAAAAGATCTCTTATCAAGCATTACTGCTCAGCAATTGAGGCTTATTAGAATTGGGAGCTATTTTGGAATCACTACTAGTCATTTGCCCAATTTCCTAGCTACATTAGGTTAGTGTCTGCCTCCCATCACATAGTGAACTCAGCTCAAACTAAGTACTCCTTTGATTAATAAGAAAAGCATCCTAGAATAATAATGGTGTTTGGGAAAAGAGAACAAATGATTCCCTTAGTCTATTTTACACTTGGTAAAGTTCTAGTGAAAAGTAGGGATGACTGAATGAATCTGACCCAGGTTTCCCCTTGAATGGACAGAAAACAATAGTGGTAGAACTCTAAAAATACACCTACTGAGTTGAGGCCGGGAATTGAATGGGTAAGGGTGAAAAAGATTTTGTAAAGACCTTATGAAGGTAAATTTTGATTGTCAGCTTAACTGGATTAAGAAATGTCTAAGAGGTTAGTAAAGCAGATCTCTGTATATGTCTGTGCTGGTGTTTCTACTGACAATAAATAATGAAGGCTTTGACTTAATCAGATCTCTTGATGAATTCATAATAAGGCTCTCTTGAGAGGTGGTAAAATCTAAGACATGGGCCTTTGGAGGAAGAAGGTGCATGCCCTTGGTGGGGGGGGGGGGGTTGTATTTCTTTCTCTGGCCTCTTCCTGTATCCCTTTTCTCTTTTGCTTCTGTTGGCCTAATGTTGAGTTGCTCTGCTCTACCACTTCTTCCTCCACAATGGACTGAAACCTCTGAAACCATAACTCGGGGCAAGTCTTTCTTCATTTAAGTTATTTTCTTCAATATTGTGTGTGTGTGTGTTTGTGTGTGTGTGTGTGTATGCACATGTGTATGCACATATCTCTATCTACCTATCCATCTATCCTGGTACTAGGGCTTGGGCTCATAGGACCACATGTTCTTGCTTGGCTGTTTTGCTTAAGGCTGTCAGTCTACCCTTTGAGCCACAGTTCTTCTTGAGGCTTTTTGCTAGTTAATTGGAACTAGGAGTCTCATGGGCTTCTTTGCCCAGGCTAACTTTGAATCACCATCCTCAGATCTCAGTCTCCTGAGTAGCTAGATTACAGATATGAGCCACCAGCACCTGGCTCTCTTAGATATTTTGATTATGGCAATAACAAAATTAACTAACATAGAAAATTGGTATCAGAAAAAGGCCTTTCCTGTGAGTAAACTTGACTATGTGGCTCTTAAGACTTTGGAACTGGTTTACTGGAACAATTTGGGCAAGTTTGAAGAAGCAGGTTAGGGAAATCCTAGAATGGCTTAAGCAGAGCTTAATGGGGGAATGTGGTGGAAGCTGAGAAAACCAGATTGCCCATAGGAATGCAGACTCTTGAAGGCCAGGCTTAGGAAATTTGAGATGAGGACAGATGATCTAGAGGTTAGGCAGGGAGTTAGGAAACCTAACTGAGAACCATGGCTGAGAACCTTGGGTTGGATGTTGATAAGGACTCATCCTGGACTGCTAACAGAATGGCTTGTGACCCACAGGCCTGGAACCTAGAGAAAATAACAGACTTAGCCTCAACATTCATGACCAAGCATTTCCTGTAACAGGTACTTTAACTGCTTTTTCCTGAAAAGCACTAAGTCCTAACTGGGGCCTGTGAATTTACTAAAGGAAGAATAAAAGCTGGGCACCCCAGGCTCCACTTTGCATCTGTGTTCTTTGATCTCAGCCATTCTCTCCTGCAGTTACATAGTTGTCAACATGGGTTTCAGAAAGGATAGGACTTATTACCAATAACATGTTTATATGGAAGAATGAAGGAAACTGCCCCCAAAGAGAATAGCCCAAAACTTGGGGTAGACCACCCACCAGGCAACAATGACTTGTTTTCTTCCCTTAAATGATGACAGCAGTAACAACTTCTAACAACTTCTTGGAACTTCGGGAATGAGGACTGAGATAATGGTCAACCAGGTGCCGACTGTGATAGAGACGTTTGAATCATTATGCATACCTCTTTCTCCTTCCGCCTCTAGTTCTCTGTCCTTTTAAATCTGTCACTACTCTGAAGATGGCTGAAAGTAGGCTGCTTTGCTTCCTTACCATGGCTACCTATGCTGTGTAATAAATTTTATTTCTCTGCCTTTTACCATGTCTTGTTATTGGCCAGACCTGACACTGGGACTTGAATTGAGGCTTGAGTTCTAAAAACTCCATTCATGTGAGGGGGATTGCTGACACAGAACCAAGCATGCAAAAGCTAATGATATACAATCTAGTTTTCCAGAATTGACCTGCCTCCATATCTGAAGACACCCATCAAAGCCTGTGACTTCCAATGAAGCACTCCTTCTTAAACTCTCATGCACTGTTTGAAGGGTACCAGGCTAGGGGCATGGAACAAAAGTTTAGAGTGCCCTCTGAGTCAGCTGAGTGAGAGCAAGAGATGCTATGCCAGCAAAAGGAAAAAAAAAAAAAAACTAGCAGTTAAGAAGGTATGTTAAAGCTGGGCGCCGGTGGCTCATGCCTGTAATCCTAGCTACTCAGGAGGCTGAGATCTGAGGATTGCGGTTCAAAGCCAGCCCAGACAGGAAAAGTGAGACTCTTATCTCTAATAAATCACTTAGAAAACCGGAAGTGGCACTGTGGCTCTAGTGGTAGAGTTCTTGAGCTGAAGAACTGAGGGCCAGTGTCCAGGCCCAGAGTTCTGGCCTCATGACTTGGAAGAAGGAATAGATGGAGGAGGCGGAGGGGGAGGGGGAGGGGGAGGGGGAGGAGGGAGGGGGAGGGGGAGGGGGGAGGGGGGGAGGAGGAGGAGGAGGAGGAGGAAGAGGAGGAGGAGGAGGAGGAATGTTAATTTAGACATAGATATTCAGCTAGGTGTTTTTGTATAATGTACATGCATACATGTAATCCTAGCACTTGGAAAGTTGGGAAGAGAATCTCAACTTAAATGCAAGCCTGGGCTGCATAGCAAAACCCTATTTCAAAAGAGTAGAAAATGGCAACTACAACAACAAAACTTACTACTGACATTATAACTCAGTGTAGAGGGAAAGGGTTACAAATCTACTTAATAACAATTTTTAACCTCGACTTTTTAAGAATATGTGTCTCTGTGATATGATTTGAAAAAATGTCATTTTTCTTTGTTTTACATTTTAATTTGTAAAGTTTCAAACTTACAATAAAAGATAAGAGAAAAAAACTTTATAGGGGTATACCCTGTGCACAGATCACCTAGGCTCACTAATTGTCAATGTATTTTTCATGGTTGTTTCTATTTCTCAGTACATGAACACATTTTTATTTATCTATGTATCTATCATCTATGTATCTATGTATTTATCATTTATCTATGTATGTATATATGTATATATGCATGTATGTATGTATCTATCTATCTATCTATCTGTCTGTCTGTCTGTCTGTCTGTCTGTCTATCTATCTATCTATCTATCTTACCTATCTTTCCATGACATTCTGAAAACAGGCCAGTTGTTTTGTAAAACATCATTTAATCTTTGCTTGATTATTTCCTCATGATTAGATTCAGGTTTTCCATTTTTGTTAGGAGTCTGTCTTTGCCCAGATGTGTCCTTTCTAGTGTATTGCTTGCAGTAGGGAGTGATAACTGCTTACCTTGCTGTTGGTAATATTAATTTTACCACTTTTTGAATAGAAGTACCGTCATTGTCTCCTCTTTAAATATACCATTCCCTGATTAATATGGAATATGTGAGATCCTGTTCCAAAGTAACTTTTGTTACATATTTATTGATATTTTTATTTTTACATATTACTTTTTGCTGACACTGGTGCCTGGGTATGGTCCCTTAGCATTTTTGCTCAGGGCTAGCACGAGCCACAACTCCAGTTTTGGCTTTTTGGTGGTTAATTGGAGATAAGACTCTCACAGACTTCCCTGCCTAGGATGGCTTAGAATCTCAGTCCTCAGATCTTACCTTCCTGAATAGTTAGGATTAGAGACATGAGCCACAGACAACCCAGCCTTTGTGATTATTTTTAAAAGCATAAAACAGGTTAACATGGGGAGATTATACATTTGTAAATAACCGGTAGGGCAAGGTGTTATTAGAGATAATTAATCTGTAGAGATAAAAGGAAAGAATAAACCCCTTGAAGAACAAGGGGTATATGCCAATAGTATGAATTTTTCATCAAGCAGTAGGTCAGTAATAAGTGATGTCTATGAAGGAAAATGTGTGCATTCAATACCTTTCCCTGCATAATCTTAAACTGCTTTACATTTATATATAATGATACACTGTAATAATCAGAAAAATGTTTAGACTGTACCAAAAAGAGCTTGGTACTATATATAATAGATGATAAAAATTGAAGTAAGAGAGCCAAGTACAGCACTTAAGATCAGAAAATGTTCATGGGAAATTTCTAAAGCAATTGATGAATTATAGTACTTATAAAACTAGTTTTTCTTTCTCTTTTCCTGGTTAATTTTATTAATACACGATAGCTTTAGATGATTCTCAGTTGCATCTAGCAAATTTCAAAAAGATCCCCCTGCAATAAAGAATCTATCATGTCCTGCTGAATAAAATGTGATTTTGTGCAACCTGAGATTGAAGGCTTTCTAAGCTTCTCAGTTTTAAATCAGACAACCCCCCACTTCTTGCAGACACTTGCTTATTTGTCACTTTGAGTTTGATTTATCTCAAGCAAGAGCTAAAACTGTATTAAAATCTTCTGTTTAGCATGTAAAGCTCTATATAAAGAGAACCAGTAAGTTAAACATATCTAATGAAAGACAGCTGCGTTCTCATTGGAACCAAAAATAGTATAGAAAGAAATTTGTTTCGGTGCAGGATGATGGGAAAAGTGTGAGAACCAGGTGTCATCTCGTTGCTTTACAAAATGGTGCTGATATATATAGGAAGGGAAATATTCCCAATAATGTTTTCAATGATTACAGTGAATCTGTGTCTTCAGCTATTGATCAGCTCTTGATGGGCAGAGGAGTCAGTGACTTAATCGGTTTCCCTGCTTTCTTCTCTATTCCATTGTTAAATTTCCTTAGTTTGGGCTGGGATGTAGCTCAGTGGCAAAGCGCTTGCCTAGCAAGGGCAACATCCTGGGTTCGATCCCCAGTACCAAAAAAGAAAAGACAAAAAAATACAGTTAAAAAAAATTTTCCTTAGTTTGTCTCTATATGAGAGTTGCTCCAGAATATAAAACTAAGTAATAAGGTGACTTGATAATGGTTGTTTCCATATTTTAAAAAGAGTTTTTGTGGCTTTATGTCTTTTTGTTTATTCTTTCGCCTATGAATACATATCTTTAAATTTTTTTTGAAATTTTGAAAATACTACAGCTATAGATTTTCAGACTTAAAAACATATGATTGTCTGGACACTGATGTTTCATGCCTATAATCCTGCCTAATCAGGAGACACATCTAAGAATCAAGGCTCAAAGCCAGTCTGGACCAAAAAAATCCACAAGACTCTTATCTCCATTAACCAGTAAAAAGCCAAAAGTGGAGGTGTGGCTTAAGTAATAGAGTGCCAGACTTGAGCAGAAAAGACAAGGGAGGCCTTGAGTTCAAGCTCTCAGAATGATGCGCGCACACACACACACACACACACACACACACACACACACACACACACAATGTCCCAAAGAATGATATTTCTCCTGGGCCAATATAAAATATCTACCTTGTGAATTTTTTTTAAATTTAATTTTATTTTATTTGTGAACATAAACCTTGTGAATTTTTGTATACATTAATTCCATAATGTACATTATAAAAAGGTAATTTTTGATAGTGCCATTTTCAGAAATTTAAGTCTATATTCAGATGACTTTATTTTATTACACCATGGTCTCAGAATTCTGTTGGGTTCACCTGATTATGGAAGTGAACCAAAATTCTAGGATTAAGTTATTTATTTCTTCATTCAGATCCTCCCCAGCAGAAGGTGTTTAATAAATGTTCATTACACTGTTTACTTATATACATATATCATACATGTATGTTATTGACATGGATTCTTCAGATACAAATGTCAACATTGTTTTATGACACATGCAATTTGAATGTGTAAAGTATGGTTTTGCATTTGTTTCACACATTCAATAATCACTTGAGAGCCTTTTGTGGATCATGCACTGTACCACATTCTAGCAATTTGTTTTAGGATAAGGAAGGTAGATTCTCAGCCCCTAAGGAGCTTACATTTTTTGTAGAAAAGAAAGACAAAGTGAACTGATCAAGAAGATGACATATTTTGATAAATACCATAAAGGAAAGTGCCTAACATAATTGGTCTTAGAATTGCAGGTGTGTGTGTGTGTGTGTGTGTGTGTATGTCCTAGCTCATGTCATGTGTCTGTGTCTGTGTGTGGAGTGAAAGACTATTTGTATGTGTGGGTGGTCAAAGAAGTCTTCTCTTGGTGACCATGATATAGACCGAAAGAACGAGAAGGAACAAATTATATAAAAAGGCATGGACTGTTCTAAAAACTGCTTTAGGATTTAATATGACACATATGATAATATATCTCCTTGGCAAGAGCTGTACTTGCCCAGGCCAGAGCCCAAAATGGCTGCTATTGTATTCCTTAAGATGCTGTAGACTAAAAATTCAGAATCCTAAGTGCATAATAGAAAGGAGTTGAGGGCTTGGAAAAACAGATCTCTTACATCTTCACATTTTCCATTTCATCTAAACTCAGCGAAGAGTTTAAAATTGAATATAGGTAAGTTGGCTAAAAAACTGTAATTGTAAGTCATCAGCAGCACATTTGAAAGGAACAACACAGCCAATGCTGGCAGCTCCTATTTTTCAGATTAGAAATGAACTGCTATGTTGTCAGGATAAAATGGTATGTTTTATTATTGAAAAGGCAGCTATATTAGCTTCTTTGGGCCATGAGGGCCCATTTATTTAATTACTTCTTCCAGGACACTAAGTGGATCCCTTGAGACCAGGCCAAATGATTACACCTTGAAAGGTGAATGATGCATGTAATTTGATGGATAGTAGCTTCTCTTTATTTGCATTGAGTTATTTAGTTTTAAACTAAAGATCTAATATAAAGAATTGGGGAAATCCAGTTTCTTCCCTTCTTTGTTTGAAAGTGGCTTGGGTCCAGACCTTTAATTTTTTACTTTTTACTAAATCAAAATATGATGAACTAATAAGATAAGCATAGAAGTGAAAAAAACAGACAAGTTCTCTGAACAAGAAGCGTAACACTTTTCTAGGTCCAGATTTTAGAGTTCACAACTTACTAACTTTCCCCCCTCATGCAAGTGATTGAACCCAGAGCCTTGTACATTCTAGATAAATGCTCTACTACAGAGGTACAGTATGTCCAGTCCTTAAGCACTCTATATGAGAAGATTTGAAATAAAAAACAAGATGTTTAATTTTTGTTATTTTTAAAAATAAGGCATGATCTGACATACGGATTCTGATCATTAAGCATATAAAGATACAAATATTGTTTTGTGTGAACTCTTTTCCATTATGTTAAAGTTATAATGTTAAAATCTCAATATATAGAGAGCCAATAGTCAGAAAGGACAAAAATAAAATGTTAGGACATCTAATAAACATCAAGGCAGGAAAAACTGTATCTTGAAGATATTTAACTGTACTAGCCTTTCAAGCGAGTTTACCTCCAGATCTAATGGCTGTGGTTACTATTTCAGTTTTCCTCACCTATTATTGAACACTTCAAACTGATGTTAAAAATTTTATCCCTTGCTTTTCAGTTCTTAATTTAGCATACAATGACAAGTCTAATCAAGAGGAACTTTTGTTGCTACTCACTTTAGTTGATGAAGATAAAATATATAGTACTTTATACTATCTTTCTTCAGAAAAATGGAAGGTAGCAGGGAAATACTGATCATGTTTCCTATTGGGTGAAAAGAAAACTATGTGCCAAGGTAGAGAACTAAGCTTTTTCAGACTATGATAAAAATATTCATTATATTA